CAAGCAATGAGAAGGTCATCTGTTTCCAGGTCAGATCACATCATAAATCACCATCCAGGTACATCAGCGTGTAGGATTCCCTGGTCCGTTAGCATGTATCACCCTCTAGGATCATCTTTTGTTGTATGGGCACTGCGAATGAAGGCACTCACACGGAGAGCCCAATAAGAGACCACATAGCGTGATACTGTATAAAGTACCTTTATTCCAAATAATGGGTACAATCAATAAGATATAAAGAAAGGTACTGACCATGTGTTCCAGATTGACACCTATGGTGGTCAGATGTCCAGTTGCTGTAGCCCACTGACGCGTTTCGTGCGATGCACATAGTCATAGGGAGAAAGGGCTTACAGCAGGGACATCCATTACAGTGCTATTTATATATTTGAATGGCGATTATGCTTAGTGCGGCCGCCATTTTGCCGGCTATCGGCGCATGCGCAGTCCATCGGCGCCATTTTGCCATGGATCGCGGAAGCGCCCACCAGTCACTGTGTTCAGCAACTCGGTATGTTACGGCCGCCATCTTGCTGGCTATTGGCGCATGCGCAATTCGCAAGCGCCATTTTGTCGTAGATCGCGGAAGTGCTCACTAGTCACTGCATTCAGCAAACTAGTATACTGCGGTACCGCGCCATTTTAATGGCAGTAATAAGATAAAATAAACGGACAATCTTATTTCGCGATGACGAGGAATTACTTTTGGTTCAATCACAAATTTTATTTACAGACAAAGGGCGTTGCCATGGGGGCAAAATTTGCCCCCCGCCTGGCCAATCTATTTATGGCCAGATGGGAGGAGGATGTCATCTATGCAAGAGACTGGCCGGAACTTTCATTTTATCGGAGATACATAGATGACATCCTCCTCATATGGAATGGGGAAGAACAGACCCTTTTAAATTTCTTTACAACCTTGAATTTTTAATTCGTTAAATATTAAGCTTACTTTTGAATATAGTCAAACGAGTGTTAACTTTTTAGATCTGGTTTTAATGAACCACAATGGGAAAATAATAACGGAAACATATTTTAAACCAACAGATAGAAATGGTTTTATCCCAACAGACAGTTGCCATCATCCTATATGGCTACGAAACATCCCTAGGGTCAGTTTTCTAGGATTAAACGCAATTGTACTGATATGGATACATACTATAGGCAAGCGGCAATAATTAAAAATAAATTTGTTGAAAAAGGTTATGATGAATCTATCCTTAATCTAACCATGGACACTATAGGAAAATCAGACAGAAATTTGATGTTGGGTGATCCCCTTTTACAGAAATCACAAAAAAATCTGTCCTTTTATCACCAACTACTCCATACAGTACAAAAAGATAACCAAAATCATTAATAACAACTGGAAAATTCTGAAGTCTGATCCCATTTTGAACTCAATATTGCCAGACAAACCAGAAATCATTTTCAGGAAGGCAACACCGTTGAGAAACAAAATCGCGCCCAATATTGTGGATCCCCCTAAGAATGTGATTATGTTCACAAACTTAACGGGTTTTTTTCCCCTGTAAAAAGTGTGTTATCTGCCAATGCAGCAGATACACCAGTAAAACTAATAGGTTTAATTCTACGGCAAATGGTAATCATTATAATATGGATGATTTCATTACCTGTACTAGCAGATTTGTGGTCTACCTGCTCCAATGTCCGTGCAATCTCCAGTATGTAGGACGGACCACTAGACGCCTCAGAGATAGACTGAGGGAGCATGTTAATAATATTAGAAAAGGATATAAGGATCATTCTCTGTCGCAACATTACAAGATTCACCATAACAAAGATCCATCCTCACTTAGATTTATGGGCATTGGTATTATTAACGCCCATTGGAGAGGGACCAATAAAAAACGAGCAGTGTCACAACTTGAATCACGTTGGATATATGAACTGGGCTCTCTATATCCCAGGGGACTCAATATAGACTTTGATCTAAATTGTTTTATAGATAATAGTTGAAGAGACACTTGCTAAGTCCCAAAATGAGAATACGACCCTTTTTTTGACTTTGTTCACACCCCAATGTATATTGATGTGATAGCATTTTATCACATATATTGATTGACGTTGAAATTCCCTGTCATCGCGATTTTAAGATTTTAAGGATTCTAGAGATTTTAAGTATCTTAAAAAAGTTTTGAATATTTTGGATCTTTTTACACATATCTTTGGTTTTAGATATCTGTTTTACACATATGCCTTTTATATGTATAATTTTAACTTCCTAGATTTTGCGAATGAATACTTTATTCTAATATTTTATTTTAATTTCATTTTTATTCATATTTTATCAGCTTGTTTGTACGTTTACAATCTGACCATGTGTTTATTATTCTTTCTGACCATGTATTGTATGATATATATTTTTGCTATTTATATTATATTGTACTATTTAACATCCTGTGATGTTTTCACTGGGCAGCATAATTTGTTTATGCATCTGATTTTATATGGTCTTGCACATATAGATATTGTTATCATATATATGTGCATACTAGGTGGGCTTTGCATATAGATTTTAATATGCCTATACAATATACTAATTTCCTTTAAGGGTCACAATGGATCCCATATATATCAAGGAATTGATAATTTAACATTCCCCCCTATATTGCAATCCTCTGCACAGTGGTAACCGTTTATTTGATCTTATTACTGCCATTAAAATGGCGCGGTACCGCAGTATACTAGTTTGCTGAATGCAGTGACTAGTGAGCACTTCCGCGATCTACGGCAAAATGGCGCTTGCGAATTGCGCATGCGCGCCAATAGCCAGCAAGATGGCGGCCGTAACATACCGAGTTGCTGAACACAGTGACTGGTGGGCGCTTCCGCGATCCATGGCAAAATGGCGCCGATGGACTGCGAATGCGCCGATAGCCGGCAAAATGGCGGCCGCCACACTAAGCATAATCGCCATTCAAATATATAAATAGCACTGTAATGGATGTCCCTGCTGTAAGCCCTTTCTCCCTATGACTATGTGCATCGCACGAAACGCGTCAGTGGGCTACAGCAACTGGACATCTGACCACCATAGGTGGCAATCTGGAACACATGGTCAGTACCTTTCTTTTTATCTTATTGATTGTACCCATTATTTGGAATAAAGGTACTTTATACAGTATCACGCTATGTGGTCTCTTATTGGGCTCTCCGTGTGAGTGCCTTCATTCGCAGTGCCCCATACAACAAAAGATGATCCTAGAGGGTGATACATGCTAACGGACCAGGGAATCCTACACGCTGATGTACCTGGATGGTGATTTATGACGTGATCTGACCTGGTGTCAGGGCTCCCAGGTATGACCAGAGGTGTGTGACTGATGCAGGGAAACGCAGACTTCAGATATGTGATAAACAATACAATTTATTAACACTAACCATACAAACATAAACGCAGTGCAATACTAAACATAATACAGTGCAAACAAACCAAACCAAACCACCCACAGATAACAGTACATACAAGCAAGCGTCGTCAGGCAGGCCGGGTCAATATCAATTGGGCAGGTAGGTACAGGGGGAGCAAGCAGAGAATGGTCGGGGTCACAGGCCAGGTTCAGCAGGTAGCAAGCAGCGTAGTACAGAGGGTCAGGCAGAGGGATGGTCAGGGTCACAAGCCAGAGATCAAAACAGGTAACAAGCAGCATAGTACAGAGGGTCAGGCAGAGGGACAGAAACAGGATGCAGGACAGATACAGGGCCCAGGACAAACACAACACCAAGGCAGAGTCTGTGGGTCTGGCCATCCCTTAAATACCCCAGCATCATCAGTTCCAGGTGTTAGCTGGCTGAAAGGTTGAGTCTCTGATTGCTGGGAGCACCCGCTGGCCAGCCCTGGTACTGCAGATCAAAAGGCAGGTGAGTCCCACCATTGCTGGCCAGTCCATTCCTAACAGTACCCCCCCCCCCAAGGAGCGGCCTCAGGACGCTCCAAACAGTCCTAGCTGGGCAAAATGTTCCACCGCCCGGGTCTGGTAACTGGCGGGATATCAAAGACTGGCACACCGGGCAGGACTCCGGGCAGAGGCACATCGGTTTACCAGGCGAAGCAGCAGGCAGCAGGCCACCGGGCGGAGCAGCAGGCACCGGGCCCCCGGGCGGAGCAGCAGGCACCGGGCCCCCGGGCGGAGCAGCAGGCACCGGGGCCCCCGGGCGGGGCGACATGCATCGGGCCCCCGGGCGGAGCAGCAGGCACCGGGCCCCCGGGCGGAGCAGCAGGCACCGGGCCCCCGGGCGGGGCGACCGGGCCCCCGGGCGGGGCAGCAGGCACCGGGCCCCCGGGCGGAGCAGCAGGCACCGGGCCCCCGGGCGGGGGCGACAGGCATCGGGCCCCCGGGCGGGGCGACAGGCATCGGGCCCCCGGGCGGGGCGACAGGCACGGGCCCCCCGGGCGGGGCGACAGGCATCGGGCCCCCGGGCGGGGCAGCAGGCACCGGGCCCCCGGGCGGGGGCGACATGCATCGGGCCCCCGGGCGGAGCAGCAGGCACCGGGCCCCCGGGCGGCGCAGCAGCAGGCACTGGGGCCCCCGGGCGGAGCAGCAGGCACCGGGCCCCCGGGCGGGGCGACATGCATCGGGCCCCCGGGCGGAGCAGCAGGCACCACGGGCCCCCGGGCGGGGAGCAGCAGGCGTCGGGCCCCGGGGGCGGAGCAGCAGGCGTCGGCCCCCGGGCGGAGCAGCAGGCGTCGGGCCCCCGGGCGGGGCGGCAGGCGTCGTGCCCCCAGGCGGGGCGACAGGCCTCGGGCCCCCAGGCGGGGCGACAGGCATCGGGCCCCCAGGCGGGGCGACAGGCATCGGGCCCCCAGGCGGGGCGACAGGCATCGGGCCCCCAGGCGGAGCGACAGGCATCGGGCCCCCAGGCGGGGCGACAGGCATCGTGCCCCCAGGCGGGGCGACAGGCATCGTGCCCCCAGGCGGAGCGGCGGGCGCCGGACCCCCAGGCGGAGCGACAGGTCTCGGGCCCTCAGGCGGAGCGGCGGGCGCCGGACCCCCAGATGGAGCGACAGGTCTCGGGCCCTCAGGCGGAGTGGCGGGCGCCGGACCCCCAGGCGGAACGACGACAGGTCTCAGGCCCCCAGGCGGGGCGGCGGGCACCGAGTCACCAGGCACAACCGTGGGCTCCGAGTCAACTGGGATGACCGCTGGCACTGGGTCAGACATTGGATCGTCTGGCTGGACAGCGGGCATCGGGTCACCAGGCATCAGGTCATTTGGCTCGACAGCGGGCACCGCGTCATCTGGCAAGGCAGTGGGCTCCGAGTCAACTGGTATGACCGCGGGCACTGGGTCAGACATTGGATCGTCTGGCTGGACAGCGGGCACTGGGTCACCAGGCATCAGGTCATTTGGCTTGACAGCGGGCACCGCGTCATCTGGCAAGGCAGTGGGCTCCGAGTCAACAGGCACGACAGTGAGCACCGGGTCATCAGGTACCGGATTGTCTGGCTCGACAGCAGCGGCATCGGGTCACCAGGTATGACAGCGGGCACTGGGTCACCAGGCATCGGGTCATTTGGCTCGACAGCGGGGCACCGGATCAGGTACCGGATCATCTGGATCAACAGCGGGCATCGAGTCAACTGGCCTAATAGGATCGTCAGGCTGGATCAGTTCATCATGCTGGGTAGAGAGGCATCAGGCCGAGTAGAGGCTTCAGGCCGAGTAGAGGCTTCAGGCCGAGTAGAGGCATCAGGCTGAAGAGAGGCATCAGGCTGAAGAGAGGCATCAGGCTGCGTACCGGCATCAGGCTGCAGAGAGGCATCAGGCTGCGTACCGGCATCAGGCTGAAGAGAGGCATCAGGCTGCGTACCGGCATCAGGCTGAAGAGAGGCATCAGGCTGAGTAGAGGCTTCAGGCTGAGTAGAGGCTTCAGGCTGAGTAGAGGCATCAGGCTGAGTAGAGGCATCAGGCTGAGTAGAGGCTTCAGGCTGAGTAGAGGCTTCAGGCTGAGTTGAGGCTTCAGGCTGAGTAGAGGCTTCAGGCTGAACCACGGAAGGCAGGCTCACCGGTTTGGATACTGGCAGGATGGTATTGGTTGGAAAGAATTTTCGCTTTTTTCTGGTTTTAACTACTGGAGCACTGCAAGTAAACGCAGGTCTGCAAACAAATGGGAGCAGCTGGAGACAGAGAAGAACTGGAGGATGGAACAGGAGAGGGAGCGGTTGCTACAGAGGGCTCTTTTACAGGGTTAAAGGCAGGATAGGTGCAGCGAGTGGGAACAGGGTACTGACATGCGGTAGATAGCAGGGCAGGAGGAGCTGTTGGGAATGCAGGAATAGAGTTTTGAGGAAATAGATTAGAAGCAGGACTGGGTCTTTGTAAGCTGACTGAGGCTGGGTGCAAACAAATCTGTCCATGTCTGCAGTATGGGTTGAACAAAGCTGAGCTTACACAAAGCCTGTCTGGTCAATGACTGCACTGCGTTTATACAATCTCTTAGTGTCTGTGGTGAACATGTGGAATAACGCTCCAGAAAGTAACCCACATCATCCTCTAACAACCACACCAGGGACTCTACCTGGTCTGCACTAAATGGTGGCAAAAATTCATCCCTGCATTCGGGGGAACCAGATGAAACCAACTCAGCACAAACCTCAATCAAAGGCTGCACCTCAGAGAACTCTGTGCCCTGATCTACTAGAACATGAGCGAGCCGTATACATTCTAGCAGTTCATCCCGGGTATACTCCTTCAGAGTCTGATAAGCATACTCCCTGTCATCAAACACTAGCAGATATAAATATTCAACCTCATCAAGATCCATCCTTCCCATCAACAAGCCAAGATGGCTTCCCTGTGCAGCCACTTCTGGTCAGGATTGGCCTTGGTGTAATGTCAGGGCTCCCAGGTATGACCAGAGGTGTGTGACTGATGCAGGAAAACGCAGACTTCAGATATGTGATAAACAATACAATTTATTAACACTAACCATACAAACATAAACGCAGTGCAATACTAAACATAATACAGTGCAAACAAACCAAACCAAACCACCCACAGATAACAGTACATACAAGCAAGCGTCGTCAGGCAGGCCGGGTCAATATCAATTGGGCAGGTAGGTACAGGGGGAGCAAGCAGAGAATGGTCGGGGTCACAGGCCAGGTTCAGCAGGTAGCAAGCAGCGTAGTACAGAGGGTCAGGCAGAGGGATGGTCAGGGTCACAAGCCAGAGATCAAAACAGGTAACAAGCAGCGTAGTACAGAGGGTCAGGCAGAGGGACAGAAACAGGATGCAGGACAGATACAGGGCCCAGGACAAACACAACACCAAGGCAGAGTCTGTGGGTCTGGCCATCCCTTAAATACCCCAGCATCATCAGTTCCAGGTGTTAGCTGGCTGAAAGGTTGAGTCTCTGATTGCTGGGAGCACCCGCTGGCCAGCCCTGGTACTGCAGATCAAAAGGCAGGTGAGTCCCACCATTGCTGGCCAGTCCATTCCTAACACCTGGAAACAGATGACCTTCTCATTGCTTGATGCAGGATTTCATATTGCGTATTTTAAACGCACTTCTGGTGAGTGCGTATTTCATTCATTTGAGTCACATCACCTATCACTTCTGGACCAAGACATCCGTGCACCTGAAATTGTGATCCCTCAGGATCCACACGATTTTATCACTTTGAACTGTTCAGTCACTAATAATCACCATTAAGTGATATTCATTTTGCACTTGCTGATATTGTATTATACAGTATATATAATATATCCATATATTTATTAGCGCTGCACCTATTACTGTGATACATGCCTAACTACATGCACCAACATTATAATCATCTTTATTATTATTTATTTATTACAAGTACTTATGCAGTGCTGTCAATTTATGCAGCACTTTACATATATATTGCACATTCACATCAGTCCCTAACCCTCAAGGGGTGTACAATCTAAGGTCCCTAACTCACATTCATTCATTCAGGTGTTCCAATCACCTCCATGGCCACAGGCCACACTATAACATCAAACACCTAGGCATGTAGGCTGCGTCTATAAACATTTGTGAAAGAATGGGTCGCTTTCAGGAGCTCATTGAATTCAAGCGTGGTATAGATTGTCATCTGTTCAATAAGTTCATCGGTGAAATTTCCGTGTTACTAAATATTCCAGGATCAACTGTTAGTGGTATTACAATAAAGTGGAAGCAACTGGGAACAACAGCAACTTGGCCACAAAGTGGTAGGCCACGTAAAATGACAGAGCTTCATGGAATGGGTTTCCATGGCCAATCAGCTTCATGCTAGCCTTACATCACCAAGTGCAATGTAAAGTGTCCGATGCAGTGGTGCAAAGCACGCCACCACTGGACTACAGAGCAGTTGAGATGTGTTCTCTGGAGTGACAAAATCATGCTTCTCTGTCTGGCAATCTGATGGAAGTGTCTGGGTTTGGCTGTTGCCAGGAGAACGGTACGTGCCTGACCGCATTGTGCCAAGTGTAAAATTTGGTGGAGAGAGGATTATGGTGTGAAGTTGTTGTTCAGGGGTTGCGCTTAGCCTCTTAATTCCAGTGAAAGAAACTCTTAAGGAGTAAGTATACCAAGACATTTTGGACAATTTCTTCCTCCCAACTTTGAGGGAACAGTTTTGGGATGGCCCCTTCCTGTTTCAACATGACTGTCCAACATTGCACAAAGCAAGGTCCATAAAGACATGGATGAGCAAGTTTGGAGTGGAGGAACTTGACTGGCCTGCACCTCAGGCCAATAGAACACCATTTGGATGAATTAGAGAGGAGATTGTGAGCCAGGCCTTCTCACCTGACATCAGTGTCTGACCTTGCAAATGCGCTTCTGGAAGAATGGTCAAACATTCCCACACATTCCTAAACCTTGTGGACAGCCTTCCCAGAAGATTTTAAGCTGTTATAGCTGCAAAGGGTGGGCCAACTCAATATTAAACCCTATGGTCAAAGACTGGGATGCCATTATGTGCGTGTAAAAACAGGCATCCCAGTACTTTTAGCAATGTAGGTTATGTAGTGGTTTCCCATAGAAGCCAGGAGCTTGTAGGTCCCAAGGTGATGTTGATTTTTAAAAGCTACCTGGGTCACCAAACTGGAAAATGTTTGGAAATCCATAGTGCAAAGCATTATAAATGGGCTTACAAAGAGAAAAGAGCAAAACAAGCATAAATTACTAATTACAAAATTAATTTTCTTTGTTCTGTTTTACAATATTCAATTTCCACCCGGGCTAATATATGAGAGAACCCACTTTGTCTGATACAAGAATAGACATAGTCTAAATCAGATTCTGGATCTGAACCTACAACCTCTGTGGTGTCAAGCTGTAGATCTTCTCGCTGTGTCACATGAGATGCAGGGCAGCTCCGTATCTAATCTCTTGGAACAATCTTGTCTTGTCTCTTGTTTCTCATGAAGCTTGAACTCTTTGCTCCTTACATGAACTTCCTGAGTTAAGCCATGTCTATGCACTTCCTGTTTGCTAAATTATTGTACACTGTCCAGCTGATATTTTGCTTCTTTGCTTACCTGCATCTGTCCTTATCTTCACTACAATTTGTTACTGACCTTTGGCTCATTCCTTGAGTACGACTCAGCTTGATTGCTACCTGCAACCACTTGTCATTGACCTTTGGCTTGTTTTCTGACTACACTTCTGTGTGGTCTCTACCTGCTATATCTGCTACTGGACCCTGGTTTTCTCACCTCTTTGTTGGACGACCTGGTACTAACACACTGCAAACCCATATCCATCACCAGGAGCTCTGGTGAATACTTTCTAGTGCTTAGACCCACACCTCAGCTGTGCCTGCATAATCGACCAGGGAGCTCTGTTTGTATACCTACCCTGCTGGTTAGTGGAAACTTCTCTTATGCTGTCGCTACTGATCTCCGAGTCTGACCCCTGACTGTGGCAGTCAATCTGCGTCTATCTAAGAATCCTGTATAATAAATCTTGTATAATAATCTAAGTATTTCAGCTTTTCATTCAGATATTTCCATAGTACACCGGTTCATCCCACTCCCTTTTGTTTGTTATCCAGTGATTCTGCAACACATCTGCTAGGGATGCTGGAACATCTCTCACACACACAGAAAGCCTTGAAAGCACAGAAACCACTGTCACATGGATTAAGTCCTATGTTTCTTCATACTGGGCATTTCCTATGGCTCCCAACAAAGCATTAGGTTAATTTTGGAGGTGTATTCACCACACTGTCTATACTCACATTCCTTTCACTCCTCCACCACTACTTGCAGCTGCTTGGAAAAAAGGGAAATGTTTGTGGGTTTTTTTCAGTTAATGGTAGCGTGAGACTCTCATCCTGCCTTATAAAATGCTTTGCTGGGTGCCTAAACAACTAATCTCCAGGCACCAGCACTGCCCATTGTGGGACATCCTTAGCCCTATGTAAGCTGTGATTAGTAAAACTTTCAAGTGGACCTGTGCTAAGCCATGCAAATAGGTTTACATTACTGAGTTACACACATAAAGTAAGCTCAATAAATGTTTTTCCTTGCTTCCTAGTATTGTACAAAATAGGAACTGAAATAAAAAGCAAGAAGAACCTTTTTCTGTATTGCAGCACAATGCCCATTACCTTCTACTGATCCCAGCTTCTTTTAAATCCAGCAAACATCATCCTGAGCCTGAGCCTGTCTGACGTAGCAGCAAATCTTGTTCTACTCATGTACTGCTTTATTGGATATAGCATTCTGAAGGGTTTCTAAAACCCATCGCTTCCCACATGCTGGCCTTTGACATTCAGACCTGTGTCAGCGGAAATTAGAACAACGCTTTATATGGAGTCTTTATTGACTTCTCTCTTAAGAAACCTCCATGACAGA